AGTTGCATAATATATTTTTCATGAGTTGACGAATAAGGATTAAAACTCACAAAAACGGCAAATCGAATACTAACTTTTAATTCGATTTCACACAAAGCTAAAACTGTGCACTCCATTATCAAATTTTTTTTCATTTACTTGGTCCTTGTTACGTTACTACATAATGCACTAATTTCATTGTAAATTTGTTCGTCATTGAAGTTACAATTTTCGCCAACAGGTGGTGTAACCTTATACTTCATGGCGAAGCATAGGTATTGGTACATAAGAGAAACCGGTCTGTTTTTTTTTCTCGTTTACGTCTTCGCTATGACAATATTTAATCTACCTAATTGCCCAACTGCCTAATGAGAAAGATCAACTACAATAGTACCAACGTTCTTTGATTGTAATGGTTCCTTTATTTCGCTTCATTTTTTTTTTGAAATTATTACCGTTACTCGCGCCATTAATCCTTGCTTGGTAACGAATGTGACAGTTGAAAGTGTTGCGGACTTTATTTTGTTTTCGACAGCGGCACACAATGGCAACAGACCGTCGCAAATTCGCTTTATTGCGAATAATAAATTCCGTTTAAGAGGAGCGCGCGTAATTTTTCACACATTTACTCCTTTATAATTCGCACCTTATTCACCAGTCGAATTATACCACGCAAATACCAGTTACATGGTGTCCCGTTTGCGTATATTAATCTGGTCATTCTTTACGATCACCTTTTCGAAATCACCCATTTGATTTAGGTATAATAAAAAATTACGTTTATGAAAAAAAGAGAGAGAATGTAGAAGATGCAAGTATCGCGTAAATAAAATATACATTTGTTTTAATATGTCAGCATAAAAGACATTACGTTTATAATAATTTAATTGCCACCAAATCAATCAAGAACTTTAAAGCATAATAAAACTTTAACTATTAAAAGTATTCTTCGATAAGGACCTGGGAGTTGAAGGTTTTGGAGTAGTAAGAAATCTTCGACTAATTCTTAAATGTCACCCAGAACTTACAATTAGAAAGAATAAAATTACGAAAGCCATCTCTTTTTAACCTCCGATTGGTCATAAATAAAAGCTAAGTGAAAGTAAAAAAAAATTTTTTATTAGGTACTAAAAGTTACACTTATGGTTACTCTTCGACGTGAGGCAGTTGTTGCACTGTGAATTGGCTTTCCAATATCCTCTTCATAAAATGTTTCCGCCAATGAATTTTAATGGGTATTGACGAAGTCTTGAAGGGGAAAACCATGGAAGACACATGCTAACTTCTGGAATTACTCTAGATATAGTACTCATGTTCAACGGTTCTCTAAACAATTTCAATAGGTCGTGGATCAGAACAATTCCAAATGTCAGTAGGTCCTTTTTTGTTTTGGATGATTCTCCCACCTATCGTCGAGGGAATTCCATATTTTTCCTGCCATTCCCACTTCTAAATTTGCAAGAAGCTGCAAACCAAGGCCAAGACCCATTCGAATTCATTATAGTAATACTTTACTAGGAGGGACATAGGAGAGCTTATCCATAGATGACGTTCTCAGTTGTGTCAGTTATCAGTATTCAACATTGTTGAGTGTCTACCCAAGATTCATCCAAGCATATGCTATTCCATAAATTGACTTTGTCTTGGAATTCCTCGTTGGTTTGTAAACGGGAGAGGCATGGAAGAAACATACTAACTTCTGGAATTGCTCTACATATAGGGATCATGTTCAACGGCTCTCTGAGCAATTTCAATATGTCGTGGGTCAGAGCAATTCCAAAAGTCAGTAAGTCCTTTCTTGTTTTGGATGATTCTCTGACTTATCGTCGATGGAATTCCATCTTTGTCCTACCTTTTCTGCTTCTAAATTAACAAGAAGCTTCAAAAAAACGTCGGGACTGATTCGAATTCATAAAGGGTAATATTTTACTAGGAAGGACATAGGAGAGCTNTCACAAATGCATAACAAATGGGCGCCACTTCTATACGGACAGAATGCGCTGTGGGGCTACACGCTCGACGCTCAATGAAAATTCGGAACAAATAAAGTAACATGTAGGTTTCGTCATCAAAAGAAGTTGATGAGGAAGGGTGCGCAAAATTAAAATTGATTCTCCGACCTATCGTCGAGGGAATTCCATCTTTTTCCTGCCTTTCCCGCTTCTAAATTAACAAGAAGCTTCAAAACAACGCCGGGACTGATTCGAATTCATAAAGGGTAATATTTTACTAGGAAGGACATAGGAGAGCTTATCCACAGATGACGTTCTCAGTTGTGTCAGTTATCAGTATTCAACATTGTTGAGAGTCTATGCAAGATTCATCCAAGCATATGGTTTTCCATAAATCGACGTTGTCTTGAAGTTCCTCGTTAGTTTTTAAGCGAGTAAACCATGGAAGAAACATGCTAACTTCTGGAATTGCTTTAGATAGATATAGCGGTCATGTTCAATGGCTCTCTGAGTAATTTCAATAGGTCGTGGGTCAGAACAATTCCAAAAGTTAGTAGGTCTTTTTTTGTTTTGGATGATTCTCCGACCTATCGTCGAGGGAATTCCATATTTTTCCTGCCTTTCCCGCTTCTAAATTAACAAGAAGCTTCAAAAAAACGTCAAGACTCATTCGAATTCATAAAGGGTAATATTTTACTAGGAGGCACATAGGAGAGCTTATCCATAGATGAGGTTCTCAGTTGTGTCAGTTATCAATATTCAATATTGATGAGTGTCTACCCAAGATTCATCTAAGCATATGGTTTTCCATAAATTGAGGTTGTCTTGAAGCTCCTCGTTGGTTTGTAAGCACGAAAGCCATGGAAGAAACATGCTAACTTCTGAAATTGCTCTAGATAGATATAGCGGTCATGTTCAATGGCTCTCTGAGTAATTTCAATAGGTCGTGGGTCAGAACAATTCCAAAAGTCAGTAGGTCCTTTTTTGTTTTGGATGATTCTCCCACCTATCGTCGAGGGAATTCCATCTTTTTCCTGCCTTTCCCGCTTCTAAATTAACAAGCCGAGACTGATTCGAATTCATAAAAGGTTATATTTTACTAGGAGGGACATAGGAGAGCTTATCCATAGATGACGTTCTCAGTTGTGTCAGTTATCAGTATTCAACATTGATGAGTGTCTATGCAAGATTCATCCAAGCATATGGTTTTCCATAAATTGACGTTGTCTTGACGTTCCTTCGTTGGTTTGTAAACTGGAAAGCCATGGAAGAAGCGTTCTAAATTTCAAAAGGTCGTGGGTCAGAACAATTCTAAATGTCAGTGTTTTGGATGATTCTCCGACCTATCGTCGATGGAATTCCATCTTTGTTCTGCCTTTTTCGGTTCTAAATTAACAAGAAGCTTCAAAACAACTTCAAGACTCATTCGAATTCATTAGGGGTAATATTTTAATAGGCGCGGCATCGCAGGGCTTGCTTATCCACTTTTTCGTTGAGTCAGTTACCAATATTCAACATTGATGACTATCTACTCAAGATTCATCCAAGCACACGGTTTTCCATGAATTTCAACATTTTTCTCTTTTTTAACAAGAACTGTTCATGTTGGGGTTGATATTCTGGAGGGGGTCAGATTTTAATCGCACATAACAAGACTCGAAATATTCTATTGTTATTTACCCATTCGTCATATTATCTCTGATGCGATTTATGAAATGTGCAAGGATATTTTGAGAAGTTAGTTTGTTGGGACTTCGTATAAGTACAACGGTGCGGGTATATTTTGTTTTTTTTTTTTAATATACGCACGATTAACGATCGTCTTCGCGGTTTTCGGGGTGTTGGGGGGGAAGAAGAGGGGGCGGCGACGGTGGGGCCCCGTGTGTTCATTGTGCCCGTTTGATGAAGCACGATTAATACGACAACAGCATGGCCTTTCAATAAAGAGTCGTTTTAAATTGATTGCGAACTGGTGCAACAATGGAAGAAACTTGTTTTGGGTACTAAGTCAATGTCAGGCTTTCGTAACTATACGTACTTAAATAAATGTATAATACGAATGTTGCATTCAACGTCGGTAATGTGCAGGAATTATTGCAAACTGAATTGCCATTGAACGGACTTTATTTAATATATCTGCTAACTTAGTCAGCAGTCGGGATATTTCAAGAACGTCATAATACCGCGGCAGTAATTATTTATTATTATAAAATAGCGGTGGCATAGGCTGAGCATGCCATTATGAGATAGGCAGTGCGTTTTTGAGACGAGTCGTCGGCAAGCCACAGACAAACAATAAACAATCGTCTAACGATTCAGTGCAAGCAAGTATGAATTCGTGAAATTTAACCTATAAAATTTTTTTGACAGCCATTATAGATATGTCATTTTTAAAACATTTGCTTCAAAAGTTGACTATCGTCCAACAAAGCTTGTTAGCGAGGACCATAGAGATTTATATTATTGGGAATAATTATCGATTTAAACATACCTACAGTTTTAGACAACTTTTTAGAAGTGAGTTAGTTTAATATGAAATATTAATCTGAAAATTCATTTTTAAATTTTTTTACCCACTACACGCTACCTCAAATTAAGAGGGAAAAATTGTTGCTGTTGTCACACCCCCGTCGGGAATCGAACCCGTGAAGGCAAAGGTCCCGGGTTCGATTCCCGGCGGGGATGTGAGGTAGCGTGTAGTGGGTAAAAAATTCAAAAATGAATTTTCAGATTAATATTTCAGATTATTGATTTAGTATTTTCGAATGTTTCTAAAAACGAAAACGAGAGAACAAGATATTTATTTCAGCAGTAGGTAATTTCAATTGACTACCTCGAACGGAGGTCATTTAGGCAATCAGATAAACAAAATTTATATACACCGAATGACCAAAGTGACAAAATACGACTAGGCACTTAATTAGATTTCTTTATTGTTTTACAGATGGTTCCAATTGTGGTTCTACCATGAATGAGTAGATACACTGTTATTAATCAGAGGTTTTTTGTTTTTCAGCATGTACATACATATATGTCAACGTTGTTTCTAATATGTGATTGGTATTTTAGATGTAGTCAGTGCATTTGGCGGTGAAGGGCACCCGGGGGCATAGGGGCCGCTCCGGTCCTGTCTTCTTCCAGTGTAAGATACTTATAACTTTTAACATTTTAACAATTAACTTTGGGTGTAAGGTCTTTATGGGCCACTAATAATGCTTAATAGATGTAATTCTCTAATTGGCGACACACGTTTCTCACTAAAGTTTTTTTTTATGTGTTATTATGATTATTGTTACTTGTGTAAAAATTATTATTTTTCAACTGCTTTTTATGTTGTGTCCGAATGTTTTCGATCACGGCTACTCTGATGCTACAATTTTTACTGATTTTCGTGTTTCGTTTTTCCATTTCAGAACAATCCATTATCCGACTACGCAAGCTACATGCAACTGTTTTTCAAGGTCATAACTGCACATTTAACAGCCTATTCGATTTTTTTTGTATTCACAGTTATTATCGTACTAAAATCTATTTAATTTTTATTTAAATGTTCTTAGATTATAGCCAGTTTACTTGTGTAAATATTATGCTTCAAGAAAATTAGTTTATACGTAGTGATACGCTTTTTATTATTAATTAATATGCGCGTTGTGTCAATTTTTATTTAAATAAATAGTCGTTGCGAGCCAGTTAACTTTTTTTTAGTTTAAGTTCAACTTTAGACTACGAACTCTAGTCTATATTATGTATTCATAAATTTCGAACTTATTAAAGCGTTAAGTGCAATAATGTTGATGGGAGAGTTTTTCATTTTTTTTTGTTATGTAAATGTAACCTACCAATCGATTTCTTGGAAGGTAAAACACCAGGCCTAAATTTTTCGAAGAAGAGTTTTTGATTTCGTGAAAACTGCGTATTTTTGCACAGCAAAAGTAGACGCATGTTTATCAACAGGTTATCATCATACGCTTTAGATGCATTCGGTACCGATTATATGTCTACCAAATCAGTTCTTCTAATGTGGCTAGACGAATTTTCGCTGCTTTATTTTTTTTATGAAACAATGTTACAATGTGACATGTCACATGCCTATTATATTTTATATGTTGATAGACTGTAAGGATGTGTAAAGTTATTTATAAATTGAAAATATAAGTTCCCCCAATCAATTTTGTTTTATTTATTTTTAACAAACGAATATGAAATAAAGACAAGCTTTTTACTGGAGTTTTATTTATTTATACTATATTTTTTTTTAGTTAATTGTTTTGTTCTTTCTGAAGCATTCAATATGGCGGCTGCTGTAGGTATCGGCCGCCATATTGTCTAAATGTCAAACTGTTGACTTTTCAGAATAAGAAATGAAGGTAAATACATTAGAAAACAAAACGTAATCTTACATCTAAAAATAATGATTAACTTTAATTGATTTTTTAATTTAAATGTTCGCCTTTTTAAAGCGCTTTGTAAGTAACTGTTTCCCTAGATCGTTATTAGGTATTGTTATTACGACAGATCATAAATCAATCGATAACATTTCCCAGTAAACGTCACCAATATGTGCCGCAAGAACTGTATCTGCTCAGACGTTATAAAATGGTGAGATTTACGGTGAGAACGCCTGTTACGTATGTACGCTGTTTATAAACTGTTAATTTACGCGAAATTTGTTCAAGAACGCTACTTAAATTCGCATAATGTTCTTAATACATGCCGCAATACTTGGGCGACCTTTGAATGATTCTTCTTGCATACATTCACTATTAAATAACCAAGAAGTTTAATCACGTCCAGAATATTTTATGCTACTAGGTGCTGACGCATATACTTACAAACACACCCATAAACGTGAATACAGTGCTAAGAGAAAGACTAGAAGATTATCGATATTCGTATACATATACCTACTACTGATGTGCAGAGTCGATAGAAGGTCCAAATTCGATTAAATCTAATAACCGTTAGCGGAATTGGACTTCTTCATTTATCCGTCTAGATAAGTCTACCACAAGTCACAAGATCCAATAAGCTCGGTGATGGCTCAGACGAACAGGCAATTTTCCAAGCGTTTTCTTCGAATCTTAACCATAATTCTGTTTATCAAATCACTGATAATAGCTGATGCTTTCATAAAGTCTCTACGTGATGAATGCCAAGACAGCCTACTGCAGAATACAAGCTCAAACATGTTGATATCTGTCAATAATTGCTGGAACGTTTCAACAGGCAAGCCAATATAGTGATGAAACGTGGGTTCAACATTAGCCAGAACCAACATGATAAGATTCTAGAGCGAAATAATCGCTGATAAAAAAATCAAAACGCTGCTATTGAGACGAACGTTGACTTCCATTGAAAGGGTATAAGGAAAGGCGCTAGTGAAGCGTCTGAATGTAAGCAAAAATTACCAATTCGTGTGAATTAGCAAACGCCGAGGTGTGTTGTCAAAAGAAGTGTTGCTGTAGCAGGACAAAATCCGTCCGAATACGGTTTACCACCTTGTTCGAACCAAACAAGTTTATTTTTGAGATCCCCGACCACCCTTGGTATAGCTCAGACCTTCCTTCCTCCAAATTTAATCTTTTTATGCCATCCAAGAATGTATTGCCAGGTTGTTGATTTTTCACATACGTACAGGCACAGAATGTATGCAAAAGTGACTGCGTGATCAACCGAATCCTTGTGGAACAATGTCCTCTAGAATTTTAAGTTACAATCAAGAATACTGGACTATAACAACACACTTGCCTATGCTCGCTGTATGCTTGGAAACATGTCTTTTTCCATTCGCAATGAGGACAGGCCTTACGAATCTCGTTCCATCCTCGTCAAGGATATTCATCATTATCCTCAGCCAGTCTGGTTCAACATGCGTCTAACCACTCATTCTTACTATCTTGAACCCATCCTAGCATTTCTCAAAATCTCAATCAATCCGTATCTTTAATTAATTGCAAACTTTAATATAGTCTAGACTTAGCCCTACCCATCTTAACCCCTAATTCTGCTTTTAATATGTCTCTAAAAACTGTCCTTCATGTCTCGCCTATTTTTATTGACTTTCTTAACGCCCTTTGTCCTCTACTCCTAATATCTCCTCTTTTTTATCTATTGCACATTCGATATCTACATATAACAGTGCATCTCAAACGCTTCCAACCTTTCCTATTCAAGGATACTATTGATTATTAAAAAATAGATCATCGTAAGCATGTGCATTTAATCATTTGCCCCACTACACCCGCCTTCTGTGCGAATGCAAATTGGTATAAACTTTAAACTAGGAGTGAGCCATCCTGTGGTCTAGCATCCATGGTTACAATTTAGGCCGTGTACTACGTCATCTCTATTGCATATATGTATATAGAATATGGTATTGTGACGTACCATCATTAAGTAGCAAACCTGTGTTAGTACCTACACCTTTATCATTATCAACTAAGATCATACGAAGTTACTGTAATCCAGCTGTTTCATTTATAGAATTGGAGGAGAATTACTCGTAACAATTTACCCTTATATCACCGAGACACACATACCTTTTCCCATTTTCACCAGGACCCCGGGGCTTACTCCTTTGTCGATTTGTCTCGTTTCAACTGACAAGTCCGTGACGGACGTCCTTTCTCTCTTGCGGGTTAATTTTCTTCTTAATCCGAAGACATAATATATAGTTGTCGTGAAAGTCCGTGAAAATTGCATTTATACCACCACCAAGCAAACGGATGACAAGTCGAGACGCGGAAGTATCGTCCTGTATTGCACACAAATGTATATCTACTATAATTGCTATACAGAAACACAAGATACACTGCGATGCAGAGAGTTCCATGACACGTGGCCGCAAGCATTCTCGCTTAGTTTGCAAATTGGTCGTCGACATGCGATGTTATGTGGCAGCACAGTAGCAATTCGAGTCTTTCGCCACTGATGTATGCTATTATGGTTTTTGTTCCGAGCACCCATACACATCTAGATTAATATGATTATGATCACAGCACGATTACACGATGCGTATCGAATTTCCGAGTGATTTTAGAAACGTTGACATTTAGTGGCGAGGAGAGAGAAAGCTAACTCACTTTTTTTTGTTTTTGGTTTAGGATAGCATAAATTAAAGGGTATTGGTCTCTTATTTTATTAATTATTGAGTGTTACCGTAGAAATACTTCCTCAGCTGTAAATAACCATTTTATGTAAGGATGCTAATTAGTTAACAGAAAGATCTGAATTTCTGTTGAGAGAGGACAGCGTCCAACCAGAATGTGTTGTACCAAATCGTAGTAAAGTTGATTATCATTTGCAAAATAGATAGACCATAACGTAAACTGAAGGATAACCTTATAATATGATATATATAACAACATAAACAAAACAAAAGAATGACTACAAAGGATATTAATTACAATTTTAGCTCATTTATTTATCTATAGGTAGGTACATGCATGACTTCTGTCCCTCCATTCAAATGATCGACACTTCTATGTATACGAATCATCTTCTTGTAGTTCAAGTGACGCCTATTGTGCCCCTTTTTGAGGTTTCCCTTAAGAAAAATAGGTATAATAAGTAATTTTTGTTCAATTTTTTTTCAATTCTAACGATATCTATTGATAAGTAGTTCAGCCTCACTGATACTTTTCCTTGATATAGCGGCTGCATAGTCAACCGTTCACCATAATACGGAAAGCGTTGATGATGCCATTTACTAAGTATGGCAAAACCTTTGTAGTTAATTAAAGCACACAGCAGTATTACCCAGGAGTCCAATATGATTTATCATCATCATAAGGTCGCCAGTCCTAAGACTGGTTGGACACGCACCTCCACTCTCCTATCCTGAGCTAATCTTCGCATTTCCCCAAAACCAAAACAAGCCACACCCTTAACTATTTGCGAACAGTAATCTAATCTAGATTACCTCTACCCCGCCTAACTCCTGTTTCTGCCTCTAATATGTCTCTGACTAGACCTTCATGCATGAGAAGGTGACCTACCATAGAGTCCTCTTCTCCTATTCTCTCTAATACCTCTTCATTCCTAACCTTCTCTATCTACGTTATCCTCATCATTCGTCTGCAACACTACATTTAGAACGCTGCTAACCTTTTCTTTTCCACCGAGCCCACTGTCCATGTTTCGCACCGTATCTTTTCCGAATTTCTAGATTGATCGTTCGCGAGCATAGAAGTGACTTCTTTTTATTGAAGGCGACTCGACCCTGCGCTATCCTCTGCTTTGTATCCCCACTACTTCTTCCGTAAATATAAATGGTAAATCAAAAATATTGCCTCATAACTTCTTCTTATAGTTTCTTACTTCCCAATTAACATCACAAGGAGCAAAGAAGCAGAAGAATGTCGTGAATCAAATTGCTTACGTAATTCTTGCTGAATCCCATGGATTTATTCGAGGAACAATAATGATCAGACACGAATAACTTTTCCTGGGGCAGCATTTACGCAATTGTGGTTGCTACCACAACCCAATACGCCCGTAGTAGTTACTACCTACAATTCTTTGCATAAAAGTCGAAGTTAATAATAAAGGTAGCGACGTGAGGTGTGTAGCTTCTTGCACGCATGGGTTGTGATTTAGCCGAATCGTCATGTCTCTCTCGTAAACGAATGGTAATAAGTCGCCGATCGTGACGGGTTGGCAACAACTGTTGTTCCGCATTTTTCGCTAATTTCGCTTCTTCAACGGCGTTCATAAGATTTGCATGAAACCCGAATCGCCATGAGCGCCCCCGAACGCCCAATGGCTCTGTTCTAGTTCCCAGCTCACCGAATCACGAATCGACCTTTCGTCGGTTGTTCACTTCTTCCTTCTTATATCCCACCTTCTTTAATAAATAGTTATGGGACAGCCAGGATTCCAAATTCATTTCTTTTTGCTTTTCCTTTCTCAGATTCATTATTTCTTAATAGTCATGCATTGTTCTTCCGGGATATTCCGCCAAAAACATTCCGGTAAAATTATCTCCCACTGTAGGTTTCGTCATCAAAAGAAGTTGATGAGGAAGGGTGCGCAAAATTAAAATTGACAAATTTCAAGCAAATTACAAGCCTGACGCTGGAAGCTGGCGGAAATTTTAAAATGGCGTGGATGCGCGGTGGCAAAAGTAAGCTGTTGTAGGTATAAAGATTGCAGCCCTCTT